AAAAAGAAAAGAAAAAATTCTCCTTTCTTCCTCCGTGCTTCTGCCCAGCTACAGATCATGCAGACACACTCTGGCATGTGCTTTTGAACACTGGTGGTATTGGGGAAGAGGGTAGTCTTCTTTTTTCCTATTGAAAATTCCTGTAGAATAAAAGTGACCTCAAGGATGTTCTATCCTCTAAACTAGCGGTTCTCAACCTGTGGGTTGCAACCCCTTTGTAACAATGAAAATACATCCTGAGTATCAGATATTTACATTATGAGTCATAACAGTAGCAAAATTACAGTTACGAAGTAGCAACAAAAGTAATTGTGTGGTTGGGGGTCACCACAACATGAGGGACTGTATTAAAGGGTCCTGGCATTAGGAAGGTTGAGAACCACTGCTCTAAACAAAGCTGGGGATGGCAGTGTAATCATAGAGCAATTGTTTGTAATTGGGACAAAGTGCAGATCTCCTGGAAAACCCAATGAAAGCTATGACATCTCTCCTTGGAAAATGCCCAGAGCAGGCCCACATAATCATGCACACAATTCTGGGGTCTTACGGGTGCCAAGTTAAACACCTCAGATTTAGAGGATTATCATAATTAACAAGAGCTCTTAACAGAAAAACCCCTTTTAGTTTCTCCTTATCCTTGCAGCTCCTGCCTGAAAAATCACTAAGTCTCTTTTCTCAAGAGTGCCACAAACAAGCCACACGTGGTTTCAATATCTACATGCCACGGGGTCGGTACTGGCGGCTTCGTCTCTGTCCTGGTAACTCTTCATCCCAGCTTCCCCTTTCAGGGTCCCAAGGGGGCAAGTGTCCCAACCCCTCAAGATTCTGGCTCCACTCCACCATCTCCATCCTTGTCTTCACCTTATATGCTCTCCTCTCCCCAAATCCTACCCTTCCCCCCACCCAATACTCCATTTAAGGGTTCAGTGGCTCTCCAAAGCCTCATATCCTGGCCTTTCTCTTCTCTCACCCCAGAACTTCCCAATGTTCCTAGTGAGTATGCTGGATTAGTGGTCCGCACCGTACTGGAGCCTGTGTTGCAGGGATTGCAGGGATTGCCACCTGAAGCCCAGGCCCCTGCCCTCAGTCAGGCACTGACAGCTATCCTGGGTGCCTGGCTTGACCACATCCTCACCCATGGAATCCGGTTCAGGTAGGGAAAAACGGCAGCAGTAGTAGCGAATAAGCATAACTGGGAAAGGGAGGGAATAGGTTGGGCAGAAGGGACAAAAAGCCACATTGTATCTCGGGTCTTCAGCCTGCAGGGGGCACTGCAGCTCAGACGAGACTTTGGAGTGGTCAGGGAGTTGCTGGAAGAAGAGCAGTGGGACCTGTCCCCAGATCTTCGCCAGACTCTGCTCACGCTCAGCATCTTCCAGCAGCTGGATGGGGCCCTCCTGTGTCTGTTGCAGCAGCCTCTGCCCAAGTCACAAGTCCACAGGAGGTCCTCTTGTTGCTGTGAGTAACACCCCCCGCCTCACTGCTTTGTGTGACCCACCCCCACCATTGATTTGGCTTCATCATATCCCCATGGGTCACCTATCTTCCACTCCTGCCTTACCAGGTGCTTGTGATGAGGTCCAGACCACAGAATTTCCCAGCAGCAGCCTCAACAACCTGGAGAACTTGGAGCACCCACTCTGGCCTGGAACATCCCTACCCCAGACAGCTCAGCTGCTAAACACACTGAGGGGAGGAGGACCTAGCCCTGAGGTTTACCTGGTGGGAAATCAGCAGGCATGGCTTGCCTTGAGGCAGCACCAGCACCCCAGTTGGCACCTGCCTTTTCTTTCCTGCCTGGGGACCAGTTCTGAATCCTAAGGATCCTGGGACCAGGACCAGGAGCCAGAAAATCAGAGCTCTCCCTCTGGCTGGAAAAGCTAGACATTTAGAACTGCGTATTAAAGAAGCCTAGAATTGGGAATTTGTAAGAGACCAAACATGAGAACCAGAAGCTATACAGAGCCTGGACTTAAAGCTATGAATCCAAGATCACTCCAGCATTTGGAATCCAAGTAAAGTGCAAAACCACAGCCTGGAACCTAAAGGTTAGCATCCTTGGGAGGCTCAGGCCTACTTCCCCATCAGTGAAGACATCTGAGGGCTAGAGAGTTAGAGCTCAGGACTAGAGAAAGGGAAGAGTGCTAGAGAGTGGAAGTGGCATCTGTCCTCTCTGCTAAGTCCCAGGAGCCAGGCTGAAAACAGTTAAATCATAAGGTGAAATAGGCTTTTCTACATCTGAATCAGTCCCAAGAGCAGTATTATCTTGTACTTCTCTTCAATCATTTAAGACTATCGGGCTGCAGAATCTTCAAGTTTAAGCTTTGGTTACTCAGAGTTCAACATGTTTACACTTCATTACCTGAATGGGGTTTACCTCCTGGTAGATGAATAATCCCTGTTGGGTAGGACCCTCTCCTTGGAAGGGGCCAGGATCTAAGATGATGTTAACCTAGATCTGGTACAGCATGAAGGGAAGAGGCTGCAGAAAACGGACATATTTTCGTGCAAAGGGGTTTTTGCACTATTTATTTATTTATAGTGTTAGCAGAAGTACAAGAGGACTGTTAATGACAGGTAGTATTTGATGACCGCTTGCTTTGGGCCCTTCTGTGCGTTATCCTGAAACCACTTCTCTCCCTCCGGCCCTTCCTTCACTTCCGGTACGGGGAGCCCCGGAGAGCGGTTCAGAGGCTGGTTCAGGGACTGGTGGCTGCAAGTTTACACTATGCAGAGTCTCGATGGTCGGGGAAGCCCAGCTTCCTGCGCAAGCAACACTTCCGGTAGCGTGAGTCTTTCCGGGCTAGAGGTCACAATGGCTTCTGCCTTGGCTCGCCTTGGTCTTCGGTCCGTTAAGCAGGTTCGAGTTCAGTTCTGCCCTTTCGAGAAGAACGTGGAATCCACGAGGTAAGAGGGAGGAAAGGGTCTCGCTTTCCTTCCGCTTGGGCTTTGGCCCCCTCAAGCGGCCACTCCACACCGTCTCCCCCCCTCCCCCCAACAGAACCTTCCTTCAGGCGGTGAGCAGCGAAAAAGTCCGTTCCACCAATCTCAACTGCTCGGTGATTGCAGACGTAAGACACGACGGTTCCGAGCCCTGCGTGGACGTGCTTTTTGGTGGGCTCGGCGGGGAGACGGGCAGGAGGGGGCAGCAGGATACCCGTGAGCCCCTCAGCCACAGCCTTGCAGTCCCCACGTGCCTGACTCATTTCTTTCTTCCCTAGGAGATGGACATCGCCTGATTATGCGCGGCTCTCACCTCACCGCTGTGGAAATGCTCACTGCCTTAGCCTCCCACATCCGGGCCAGGGACTTAGCTGGGAGTGGGGATAAACCTGGCGCTGATACCGGACGCTGAGAGCGCCGCAGAGACCAACAAGCAGATTTTAGCCTGGACTAGGACACTTAACTCTTCTTGAAGAAGACCTTGACTTAATTATTCAAATCACTATCTTGAGGGCTACCGAGTGCAAAACAAAAATAAAAACCGCGAGGGGTGAGGACAGACCTGAACCGATTTCACTTTCTTATAGTTATCCACTCACTGTTAACCTACCACTCACTCAAGGTACCTCTTAATTTTGTCAGATCCAGTGCTGTTTTTCTCAGTCTTCATCTTTCTATCTCAGTATCACCTGCCATTCTTAAATTCACCCTCTGAACCTCTCTCCCTCTTAGGTCCTTTTTCTTAACCATAAAGATGTACCACCCTCATCTTTCTTTTTCTTCTTTATTTTTTCCAGGGCATCTAATGTTCTGTCATAATTTAAACTGCCCTTTCTGGAGTAAAACCCTATATTTCTGTTCGGTTCTAATCCTAATTTTTTTTCCCCTTCGGCAATCTATTAGATAAAATGGAGTGGAAACCACAGTGTCATCTCTGGTTCTGCCCTCTCTCTCCCTTTCCCTGCACATCTGCGTAGTCCAGAATATTATGTCTTTTTTTTAAAGCTCCTAAAGTAATCTCTCCATTCCCATACGCTATCATATTGCATTCTCCCATCCAGTCTTTTTCCAAATCAAATAATAAAAATTATCAGAGTGCACAGTACGTTGAATGGAAATATTGTTTGGGGAAATGTATAATCATAGGCCAGTGTGTATATGTGTGTGTGAATCTGCATATACTGGGTTGCAGTATAGAATTATTTTTTACTGCGGTTTGCAGGAGAAAAATGGTTGGAAAAAACTAGAGAATAACTTAAGAATGTTTAGCTAGGCTATCAAGGATTTCTAGACATCAGCTGTTGTATACTTTGTGAAATAACATTTCTCATGACCCTCTTACAGCATTACTATATCTGTCCCCCCCAAAAAAGGCTAACTTCAAAGAACTATTTTTCTTCCCCTTTTAGAAAAGAAAACTACTATGAGGCAGTATAGTGTAGTAAAGAGTCCGACTGCCTAGAATTGATAATCCCAGCTCTGCCCTTAAATAGCTGTGTGTTTAGGACAAATTATCAGTGCTTGTTTCCTCATTTGTAAAATGGAGATAATAGTACCTACCTCATAGGATCGTTGAGAGGATTAAATGAGTATAAAGTCCCTACAAATTGCTGGGAGTATAGTAAGTACTATAGTACTATAGTACTTATCTAAGAGGGCTTATTCTATTGTAAGGTTGAAAGAACACTGACAACTTGGATTTCAGTCTCTCAGCTTCATGATTAACTGGGTGTTATTTTGGGCCAGTCTTAACCACTCTTTCCTCATCTGTAAAAATGAGGATGGTTCAATATAAGTGCTGGCATGCTTCTCGATTATGAACTGTAAGTTGGAGCTGTTTTTTTATGCCCCTAGCACCTTGCATAATGTGATACAGAGTGCAGTAAACATTAGTTGGGTTACAAATATTAGCATCCACTTTGTGCCTATAACAGGGGTAGGTATTGAGATACAAAAATTAATAGCAAAACTGAAGTGGTACAATAGCTATATGCATAAGTGCAATGGTAGCAAGAAACAGTACTGACCATTCGGTTTATAAGAAGATGATTGACAGTGGACATTGGAGACTCAGAACAGAGGGTATTGGGTAGGTGTGAGTTGAAAATCTGCCTATTGGGTACAATGTATGCTATCCAGGTGAGAGGTACACTAAAAGTCTAGACTTCACTGTACAATTCATCCATGTGACAAAATACCATATATACCCCCCAAGTCCAAAAATATATATTTTTCTTTTTTTTTACACTGGTTTATGATAAATTTTTTTAATTTTAAATTTAAACGATTTTTTTAAAGTTCAGATTAATACAAGGGTACAAACCATTAGTTTATATAATAATTTATACATGGAAGGTTAAAGTCAGAGTTGTAGCTGTATCCTACACCAAGGGAGTGGGCCGTATATCCACAAATTGTACTCATTGGGTAGGAAGATACTGAGGCCTCCCACCTTCTTGAATTGAGATTTTCTATAGTGTGGGTCTGTGATCATTATCTCCTAGTTTCAAATTGGTATTGAGTACACGTAATGCTTATTTTTCCAATCTTGTGATACTTAGGATGTTCTCTAAATCTTTCCAGGTTATTACAAAGGAAGCAATTTTTTTTTAGAGCTGAATAATATTCTATGGCATAGTTATGTCAGTTTATTAATCTGTTCATGTGTTAATGGGCTTCTTGGGTTGTTTCTACATTTTTTTCTTTTTTTTTTTTTTTGGAGACAATTTCACTGTGTCACCCTTGGTAGGGTGCAATGGCATCATAGCTCACAGCAACCTCAAACTCTTTGGCTCAAGTGATTCTCCTGCCTCAGTTTTTATTTTTAGTAGAGATGGGGTCTCACTCTTGCTCAGACTGGTCTTGAACATGAGCTCAAGTGATCCACCTGCCTTGGCCTCCCAGAGTGTTAGGATTACAGGCATGAGCCACCTCGCCCAGGCTGTTTCCTCATCTTTGTGATTGTAAACTGAGCAACATTTGAGAGCATGTGTCTCTGTAGAAAAATGTCTTTTTTTTTATTTGGTTAAATACCTAGTTGGGATTGCAGGGTCAAATGGTAGGTCTACCTTTAGTTCTTTGAGGAATTTCCATGCTACTTTCTATAGAGACTATACTAGTTTGCAGTCCCACCAGCAGTGCATCAGTGTTCCCTTCTCTCCTCACCCATGCCAACAACTGTTGCTCTAGGACCTTGTGATGGGGCCATTCTCATTGGGCTTATGTGATATCTCAAAAGGGGTTTTGATTTGCATTTCTCTGATAATTAGGGATGATGAACATTTTTTTTTTATTTTATTTAAAAAAATTTTTTTAAATTTTTGCTTTCAATTTATCTTAGTTTGAAGTTGTTGGTTTTGTTTTGTTTTGTTTTGTTTTAACTTCTTCCTCTTGTAGTGTTCTCTTGCCTCCCACGTAGCTAGGATCAGAAGGTCTGGCTGGGTTTTTTTGTTGTTGTAGAGACGGGGTCTCACTCTGGCTCACTCTGCCTCATGCTGGTCTTTAGCTGGTCTCGAACTCGGCTGAGCTCAGGCAATCCACCCACCTCCTTCTGTCCTTTCAAGAAAAGTTTCTATTCAGGTCTCTTACCCAATTTTTTTTTTTTTTAAGACAGAGTCTCAAGCTATTGCTCTTATTAGTAGAGTGTCTGAGAGCTCTTAGTAGAGTGTCAGAGCTCACAGCAACCTCCAACTCCGGCTCAAGCAATCCTCTTGCCTCAGTTTTTCTATTTTTAGTAAAGACAGGGTCTCACTTTTGCTCAGGCTGGTCTCGAACTCATGAGCTCAAACAATCCATCTGCCTTGGCCTCCCAGAATGCTAGGATTACAGGTGTGAGCCACCATGTCCACCCTCCTTGCTGAGTTTTTAATGGTGTTCACTCTTTTCCTATTGATATGCTCAGTTCATTGTAGATTCTGGTGATCAACCCTTGTTGGATTTGTAGCATTAAAATATCTTTTTCTGGGCTCGGCACCTGTAGCTCAAGCAGCTGAGGTGCTGGCCACATACAACAGAACTGGTGGGTTCAAATCCAGCCCAGGCCTGCCAAACAGCAATGACAACTACAACCAAAAAATGGCTGGGCATTGTAGCTGGCACCTGTAGCCCCAGCTACTTGGGAGGCTGAGGCAAGAGAATCACTTAAGCCTAGAAGTTAGAGGTTGCTGTGAGCTGTGATGCTATGGCACTCAACCCAGGGCGACAGCTTAAGGCTGTCTCAAAAAAATAAAAAAATAAAATATCTTTTCTCATTCTGAAGATTGTCTTCTTGCTTTGTGGATTGTGTTCTTAGCTGTGCAAAAACTTTAGTTTGATCAGGTCCCATTTATTATTATTGCTGTTGCAACTGCCAGTGGGATCTTTTTTATAAATTCTTTCCCTAGGTCCTTAAGATCCAGAGTTTTTCCCACACTTATCTTTTAGGGTTTTTATAGTTTCGTGTCTTAGATTTAGATCTGTTATTCATTGTGAGTTCATTTTTGTAAGTGGTAAGAGGTGTGGGTCCAGTTTCATTCTCTTACATGTAGGTAACCAAATCTCCCAGCACCATTTATTAAATAAGGATTCTTTTCCCAAAGAATGCTTTTGTTTGCTTTGTCAAAGATTAGATGGGTGTATGAGACTGGTTTTATCTCTGGATTCTCTATTCTGTTACAGAGATCTATGTCTCTATTTTTAATGCCAATATGCTGTTTTGATCACTACAGACTTGTAGTATAACCTAAAGTCTGGTAAGGTGATGCTTCCTGATTTATTCTTTCTTTATAGAATTGCATTGGCTATTCAGGTTTTTTCCTGGTTCCATCCAAAATGTAGAATTATTTTTCTTAATTCTTAAAAGTAAGATGTTGGTATTTTAATGGGGATTGCATTAAATCTATAGATTGCTTTGGATAGTATAGACATTTTAACAATATTAATTATTCCAAGAAAAAGATAAGTGGGCATGGTGTATAAAGCATTAGTTTTGTACAAAGAGTCTAAATGGGAGGTGTGATAAACTAGGGGAAATAAGGATGTAGAGTAGGACTTCTTTTTTTTTTTTCCTTTTTTTAGGATGGGTTGGACTTATACCTTATGAAAATGACTGTTATGTTGGGCTGGGTTGGTGAAAAATAAGTAATTATGAATCTAAGTTGCATTTTCTGAACTGCCATTGAATGTAATGTTGACTCTTCTATGCTAACCTGAGGTACAGATGCTACTTCCGTCCTATATAGTGTTCTATGACCTGGACATAAGCTATCCTCTCCCTAGGCTCTCATGCTTCCTTGGTTGTAGGAGACAAATGCATTCTGTAAGTATATGCACCACCATTATGGTCCTTTTAGGGTTCATCTAGGTAAGGAATTCTAGGCTGCATGGATACTCCTTTGAAGTCACAGGGTCGCTTAAAGACATTGCTGAAATCAGACCCCGACCTCTTGGGGTCGGTCCTGCACTCAACTCCAGCAGGAAAGACACTGAGTGTGAGCAAAGTGATCCAGCCTGATTCAGATACGCCTGTTCGAAGCTACCCTCTTCTCAGCTCTCTAGGCGGGGTCAAGTTACTTGTCCTTCCTAAGCCTACGGAAGGACAGAACAGTGAAATGTGTTATAAAACACTTGAGATAGCGTCTCAGGTTCGTAATATACTTAGTTATTTAGAAATAAAAAAACAGCCCAACGCGAGACTGGTTTTATCTCCAAGAACATGCCAAATAAGCACAGACCCCGTGAGCTTCGCGGGGGGGCCGACCCGGACGACAAGCCCTACACCACACTGGCAGCCGCGGTTCCGGGCTAGGGGAACTGTAACCTGACGTGGCGGGGAGGGACTTCCGGCGGGAGGCGGATGTGGAGAGGGAAGCGCGGGCCGGCAGGTGCGGCTGACAGGACAGTGGTCGCTGGAGAGAGGGGCGCAAGCCGGAGAGGCGAGGCAGGGCCCAGGCTCGGCTGCCGCCTCTCGGAGTTCCTCTCTACAGCAACGCCAACCTTCGTACCCGGATGGCTCGAGGCGAGCGGTGGCGCCGCGCAGCGCCGGCCGATGGAGCGCGGACAGCTCAAAGGGCGGCTCGGGGCGGCCCGGGCCGACGGGACGGCCGGGATGGCCGGGGCGGCGGGGCCCGTGGCACGACTGGGGGAGTGGCTCTGGCCGTGGTGGTCCTGTCTTTGGCCCTGGGCCTGTCGGGGCGCTGGATGCTGGCGTTGTACCGTGCGCGACGGGCGGTCACGCTGCACTCTGCACCCCCTGCGCTGCCCCCCGACTCCTCCAGCCCCGCTGTGACCCCGGACCTCTTTTGGGGAACCTACCGTCCTCACGTCTACTTCGGCATGAAGACTCGCAGCTCGAAGCCCCTCCTCACCGGTAACTGGGCCCGGGGCGGGCCGACAGGAGCCCCAGCTTCAAACAAGGGTGGGGAGGAGTGGCTCAGGACAGTTACAATGAGGGATGACCCTGAAGTTCTTGAAGACCCGGAGGAACAGGTCCCCAGCTCTCTTTGACTTACATGGCCATTCTACCCCCAGGACTGATGTGGGCGCAGCAGGGCACCACCCCAGGGACCCCTAAGCTCAGGCACACGTGTGAGCAGGGGGACGGCGTGGGTCCCTATGGCTGGGAGTTCCACGATGGTCTCTCCTTCGGGCGGCAACACATCCAGGATGGGGCCTTAAGGCTCACCACTGAGTTCGTCAAGAGGCCTGGGGGTCAGCACGGAGGGGACTGGAGCTGGAGAGTGACTATAGAGCCTCAGGTCAGGGCCTCAGGACACCCTTTCCTCAGCCCAGACTCCCTCCATCCTTCCCTTGCTGCCAGCAAATGCAGTATGAAGTGGGGGTTAACAGCAGGGTCTCTTGAGTCTGGCTGCCTCGTTTAAGTCTTGCCTTAAACACTTGCCCCTATGACCACCATTATTTACCATCTCTAAGCCTTCATTTCCTTATTTGTAGAGATAATAATAGCACCTATCTCACAAGGTTGTAAAAATTAAATGAGGTAATCTGTGTAGAGTTTTTAATGTAGGACATAGAACAAAAGTACTCAGTTATTTCCCAGAGAACCTTGTGCAAGGCTCTTTATCTCACTGGGTTTACCTGCTTACCCTTAGTGACCCTCAACACTGCCATATGTATGTTGTTTACCGCATCACTCCTCCCTGGTATCCCTTTCCCTCACTAAGTATGATTCTCAAGAGAATGCCAATCTAAAGCTGTTCTTTTCTGTTTTCCTTGTCACCCAGGCCTCAGGTACCTCTGCTCTCCCTTTGGTCTCCCTGTTTTTCTATGTGGTGACAGATGGCAAAGAAGTCCTTTTACCAGAGGTTGGGACCAAGGGGCAGTTGAAGTTCATCAGCGGGCACACCAGTGAACTTGGTGACTTTCGCTTTACACTTCTACCACCAACCGGTCCAGGGGATACTGCTCCCAAACATGGCAGGTAACAGGGAAGAAGATGTGGGGTGGTATAGATGCTGACTTAGCCTGTTTTGTCTTCCCCATCATACCTTCTTTCCACCAATTATTTCCATTTACACCAGTCTACATGTCCCCTGCCAGAGACCTCTTTACCTCACTTTTCATCACTTCATATTTCTTTTTATAATCCGCATCACCTTCCCCTGAACAGTATTTCCCATTTATCTTCTTTCCTTCAAGCTACAATGTCTTCTGGTCCTCCAACCCAGGACTGCCTCTGCTGACAGAGTTGGTAAAGAGTCACCTAAATAGTTGGTTTCAGCATCGGCCTCAAGGAGCCTCTGCTGAACGCTATCTCGGCTTGCCAGGATCTCTGAAGTGGGAGGACAGAGGCCCAAGTGGGCAAGGGCAAGTCTTGGTACAGCAGGTGACACTGAAAGTCCCCTTTTCTGTGGAGTTTGTATTTGAATCAGGCAGTGCCCAGGCAGAAAGAAACCAAGCCCTAAAGCAGCTGGCAGGCAGCCTACTAACCCAGGCCCTGGAGAGCCATGTTAAAGCCTTTAGAGAACGCTTTGAGAAGACCTTCAAGCTGAAGGAGAAGGGCCTGACCCCTGGGGAGCAGGCTTTGGGTCAGGCTGCCCTCAGTGGCCTCCTTGGTGGGATCGGCTATTTCTATGGACAGGGTCTGGTATTGCCAGACATGGGGGTAGAAGGGTCTGAGCAGAAAATGGACCCAGCCCTCTTTCCACCAGTCCCTCTTTTTACAGCTGTGCCCTCCCGGTCATTTTTCCCCCGAGGCTTCCTTTGGGATGAGGGCTTTCATCAGTTGCTGATTCAGCGGTGGGATCCTGGCCTCACCCGGGAAGCCCTAGGCCATTGGCTGGGGCTGCTCAATGCTGATGGCTGGATTGGGCGGGAGCAAATACTGGGTGATGAGGCCCGAGCCCGGGTGCCTCCAGAATTCTTGGTGCAGCAGGCTGCCCATGCAAATCCCCCAACCCTGCTTTTGCCTGTGGCCCACATGTTAGAGGGTGGTGACCCTGCTGACTTGGCCTTCCTTCAAAAGGCCTTCCCTCGCCTGCATGCCTGGTTCTCCTGGCTTCATCAGAGCCAGGGAGGGCCACTTCCACTATCTTACCGCTGGCGGGGCCGGGACCCAGCCTTGCCAACTCTACTGAACCCCAAGACACTACCCTCGGGACTGGATGACTACCCCCGGGCTTCACATCCTTCAGCCACTGAGCGGCACCTGGACCTGCGATGCTGGATGGCACTAGGTGCCCGTCTGCTAACAAGGCTGGCAGAGCATCTGGGGGAGGCAGAGGTGGCTGCTGAGCTGGGCCCACTGGCTGCCTCACTGGAAGCAGAAGAGAGTCTGGATGAACTACACTGGGCCTCAGAGCTAGGGTTCTTTGCAGACTTTGGGAACCACACCAAAGCAGTACAACTAAAGCCTAAACCCCCTCAGGGTCTGGTTCGGGTGGTGGGCAGGCCCCCCCCTCGTTTGCAACATGTGGATGCTCTGGGCTATGTTAGTCTTTTTCCCTTCCTACTGCGGCTGCTGGACCCCAATTCATCCCATCTTGGGCCCCTGCTGGACATTCTAGCTGACAGCCGCCATCTCTGGAGCCCCTTTGGCTTACGCTCCCTTGCAGCCTCAAGCCCCTTTTATGGTCAGCATAATTCAGAACATGATCCTCCCTATTGGCGAGGTGCTGTGTGGCTCAATATCAACTACCTGGCCCTGGGAGCATTGCACCACTATGGGCACCTTGAGGGGCCCCACCAGGCCCGGGCTGCCAAACTCCATAGTGAGCTCCGTGCTAATGTGGTAGGCAATGTATGGCAGCAGTACCAGGCTACAGGTTTCCTGTGGGAACAGTACAGTGACCGGGATGGGCGGGGCATGGGCTGCCGCCCTTTCCAGGGTTGGACTAGCCTTGTCTTATTGGCCATGGCTGAAGACTACTGAGGCAGGGAAGAGAGGGAATCCAGGCCATTCTTGCTACTCTGGATCTTGAGGAACAAAGTCTCTGGCTTCTGCCCTCAGTCCCTAAGATACTAATAATTCAAACCTTCATTTCATCTCAGGTGTCTCCTTACAGTCAGCCCACACAGCCCCAGGATGAATGTAAATTCAGAATCTATTTTTCTAAATAAAATGGAAAAAAACACCAAACTCTTTGGCTTTTGCCAGCTTTGCCTCACCAAGAGGTCTTAACTCAGTCCAAGCCTCAAGGATGCTTGGCAAGATGGGATAAATGGCCACTACTACTACCCTTCAAAACCAGTCAGGTCAACTGCAGTGCAGTAAATTGAGCACTATTCCGCCCAAATTCACAAGCAGCTGTTTTACATCTCTTTAATGAGATCAAAGGCTCTTGTGTATGTCTTGGGGGATAGAGTTAGCAAAATCCCCCAAATACTGCCCCGCTCTTCAGGGCTCCAGCCCTTTCAGACAGATTCTCAAAGGGGAAGGAGGGGCCAAAGAGAACAGGGTCTTTCTGTGAGCAAGTAATGCAGCCCCTCCCCCAAAACTACTTATGGGATGTCCCCTTGCCTAGAAGCCAGCCCCATGGAAGAGACCCGGGGTACAGGATCAGGGGGCAGTGCACATGGGGAGTGGTCTTCCAGATCTGGCAGGGTAGCACTAGACCTCACCTCCTTGACCGGTTCACCCTCGCTGGAGTCAGGACAGGGACAGAGCTCAATACCAGAGTCCCCAGTCAGACGGCGATAACGGCAGGATGGGGGTGTGGAGGCAGGGCTCACCCCTGCCTCAAGCTCATCCTCCTGATGAGGGGCACTCTGGTGGGAAGAAACACCTTCCACATTTGTTCCCTCGCAGGGGGCAGAGCAGCTAGATGCAGAGGAGCAGCAGGTTGGTTCACTAGAAGCAGTCAAGGGGCAACCTGGGGCCACAGTATAAGGAGGTGGCGGTGTGCCTGGGCGGTGAACCACATCTTCGTAGGCTGGGGGTTTGAAGGCGCTGAGGAGGCCTGCAGGAAGAGAATGGCATGGTTGGCTGAAGGCCACCAGGAATGGGATAGTAGTCTCTTGAATGAGGGGAAAGGATGCTTTGAAATGTCTGGAAAAGGGAATGTGGGCTGATTTGGGGGTCCTGCTTTAGGAAGGGCCACCTAGTAATGGACTTAGAGCCTGAAGTCACTCACGAAGGTCAAGCAGTGAACCAGCAGGGACAGGGCCAGCCCCATGGCATGCCCCATGATAGGCCAATAGGTTGATTTCATGCTGCCGTTGCTGTTGTTGGAGCCGGAGTTTAGCTCGTCGATGGCGGAAGGCACAACAGCAGCTAAATAGGATAAGGACAGTCCAGAGCAGCCAGAACCCTGCAAGAGGCAAGGCGGGAGTAACTCAGATACCTCTGATGCAGAGAAGGGTCCATGAAGGATAGAATTCTGAGGTCCAAGGGAGGGTGGGCAGAGGGACCTGAGAATAATCCTCTTGGAGACTCACACCAGAGCTCATAGTAGTAGGTGCAGCAGCCAGTCTCCCCGCAGCAGTGACCACTCTCACAGAGGTAGGGCTGGTTGTTCACTCCTGGGCACAGCTCTCGAAGCTGGGGGTAAGGAGGCACTTAGAACTAAGGGAGAGTCCAGCCCCAGGCACAGTCTATTCCCACCTCTTGCAAGCACATACACAGTCCCACCCTGTGAACCACGTTCAGCGTGGAGAGATGGGGAGAGTGGGGGATTCTGAAAGGATTATTCAAGTATCTGAAGGGCTGTAAACGTGGAAGATGATTTGGAATAGCAAGAGTCAGTCTACAGAACAAGACAAGTGTAAACATACAAAGAGGAAGATCTCAGTTCTGTATATATGAGACTTCCTTCACACTCAGCCTGGCTCCCCAGAGTGCTTTCTGTTAAGGGAGTATTTTGGTAGCAGCCACAAAAACAGTCCAAGCCATCTCAACATCTTAGACAATGGGTAGAAGTTTAAGGTCATTTCCAAGGCTAAAATGCTTTCATTATCTCACATGGTCCACTACTCCCCACCCCCAAGCTGGGTCTTTCCATCCCTGTGCTTCAGCCTCCCTAGGGTAAAGGAGGGGTAGTGTGCGACTCATAGTGCTCCCAACCAGATGGGATTGCTGTGGATGATAAAGGATGGCATCCAAGGCGTGAGTCTGGGTTCCAGCTCTTCTCCAAATTGCTCCCTCAAGAGAAGACGCTGTCGGACTCTGTTGTGACAATAGGCACATAGAAAAATATCACAAATAACTGTTGTAAGACAGAGGGAGCTTCCCTATGCCTCTGGTCACTGGAGAGCCACTGCAACCATGGGATGGGGTCTATGAGACTGCAGGCAAGTCAGCTGCATCTACGTTACAAAGTTTAGACAAAGAGTGGAAGGGACATGTTTAGGAACTTCACAGTACCTTTGGCTCCTTGAGTTCCGCCCCCGCCCCCAAAAGAAGGGACAAGGAAAGGGGAAAGAGAAATAAATGGCTGTCATGATAAGCTTTTGGAGCTGTTGGGATACCTGCTGTTGCGGTGCCCGAAGTGCCCCCCAGGCCTCTTCACTGCGGTTCCTGATGCTGGCCCGAGCCATGCCTCCACCTACAGCCCCCTGAAGACCACAGCCACCTCTACTGCCAGCTGCCCCGCCCCTGCCACCTCTGCCGCCACCGCCATGGTCCCTGCCCGGCCCATCTTCGCTGCCGCCACCATCAATCCGCGGCCGGAGCTTCCACCGGGGAGAGCTCCACCAACTAGGACCCAGACGGCTCTGCCCTACCAATCACCATCGCCCCTCGACGGGCTGACCAATAGGAACACGCAAGAGGTTTCTCCCTGTGACCAATCTGCAGCAGCGCCTCCGCCGCTCTCCCAGACAACAAGAGCTTGCACAGACAAAGAGTGGGGGAAGGTTCGACCCCGACCCTGACTGACAGCGACAAAAGCCAATAGGGACAACAGAACAGGCTCTGGTTTATCAACCAAAGAAGAGCAAAGTTCCCGCTGATAGGCTTGAGCCCTATTTTCGGCTTGACGCCAAATGCCCAACCACGCACCCGGCTAGAGGAGGCTGGGTCTCCCAAATCTTCCGGAGTCTGGGCACAATCCGGCTGGCCTGCCTGTGGTCTTTTCCAAGCCCTAGGCGTCGACCGGGGCTCCGACAGGGGCAATATGTATATACCAGAGACTGGTCTGCCCAGATCCCATTCCCCCAGTTCTATACAACCCGAAGCACCAGATGAAATTTAATACGGTGGGGAAGACACTGAAAATGGGGCATGGGAGGGCGCAGAGTCCAGGTTAGGTAAGGACTTTAAGTAGCCAGAAGAGGGGATCCCGGGCCCTCGAGCCCCCCCAGTCGCATCTGCAGATTGATGCGGTAGCATTGAAGACTGCACAGCGCCTGGCCGGTGCGGGAACAGGCGTAACGGCGCGGGTGGGGGCAGCCCGGGACAGAGCAGAGCGGAAGCGGGCCTGTTGGGGTTGGCCGCGGAGGCAATGCCGCGGGGGCAGGGACCCCAGGTGGGAAGGAAAGGGTGGAACCCTGGGCTCCGCTACAGTAGCGCACCATGGGGGCCGGAGCCGCTGCCCGCCCTCCCCGCCGCTCGCCCCGTGCGGTCCCCCGACCACCCCGCCCGCTGGGTGCCGCAGTCTTGGTGAGACGCTCGATAGTCTGGTTCTTGTGCTCCTCTGCCCGTCGTGCCGCTTGCAGCCGCCGCTTCCGCGCCCGCTCCTCGCGCTTCAGTAGCATCTCCTCGGTGAGGGCAGGGGCCGGACAGCCCCCTGTCACAGGCAGCGGCAGCATCGGGGAAGGTTGACTTCGCGCTTTCTGGAGCAAGGCTCGCTGGGGTGGGGGTAGAGGAAAAGAGAGCGACGGGTTGGTGTCTAAAAGAGGAGGAAGGTAAAAAGGCAAGATCTGCCACATCCCGGGTGGGAAAAGAGGGACATGAAAGGCAGTGTCTTCAGCAGCCCAGGCTTTGGGAGAAGAGTTTTAATTTTTTTTTTTTTTTTTTTTTTTTTTTTT